ACTTTTTTTATCTAATTATCTCTCAACCTCTATATTATATACCTCAAATATGTCAATGACTTGAGACTTATCATGCATTAGATATATATAACCATATTGAGATAGATCATTTATAAAGGTGATAAAATATCTCTCTCTAGTGAAATAAAGAATAGAGAGTGGTCCATAAATATCCGTGTGAATTATCTCAAGAAGCTCATTACTTCTTATGGCACATTTCTTTGTATGTTTGGTTTGCTTTTCTTTTATGCAATTTACGCACATTTGGAAATTAGTGAAATCAAGATTTTGTAAAATTTCATCATTCACTAATCTCTCAATTCTTTCTTTAGAGATATGTTCTATTTTTTTGTGTCATAATAATGAATAATTTTTATTAATTAAACTGCATTTTGAACCAATATTTGAATGCAGGATAACTAAATCTTGTGCAAATTCATGATTCAGACAAATTTTGTTTAATATATCATATAAAATATCATAATCAACTGTCATTGAATTAAATACCAAACTTAGTTTTCCACAACTAAAATAAATTGAATATCCAACAACATCTAATTTGGATTGATAAAATTAAATTCTTAAAAGTCAAAGGTACATGAAACAAAGATCTATTTGATGATCAGTTTCTAATAACAAGCGATAGGTACCCACAACTATTACTTCTAGTTTGAGACAGTTTCCCATATCTAGAACTTTTCACTTTATTTCAATTTTGGGGATATATGAAATCTCTGCATTAAATTAGTGACATAAGTTGTGGATTCAGAATCAATCTATTAAGTATTAGAAAGAATCTCAACAAAATTTGATTTATAGCGTACAAAAGAAATATTTATACCTCACATTTCAAACCAAGCTTTATATTTATTACATTCAATTTTCACATTGCATATCTTACCACAAAAATAGCAATTCAAAGTGAATTTTCTGTCATATCTCTGGTTATTCTCCCCAGGTCCATTATGTTTCTTTGGTGGAATGCTTTTTACTTTTTTAGATTTGTCTTTATTGTTCGTAGCTCCATGGATTATGACAATGGCAAAATTATGCACATCTTGCTTTCATCTCATTTCCCCTAAATACATTTACTAGTAAGCTCATTTATATTTTTTTATTCATTATTAATGTTATAATGGATCTTGAATAGAGCGAACTTGCAAATGAAGTGGGTTAAAGACAAATTATACTAAGAAGGACTCATCTACATTCATGCTCAATGCCTTAAGTTTTGTAACCTTTTCATCCATGTCCAGAATGTGTCGTTATATCCCTTTTTAAGCATCAAATTTCACGATTGTCAATTTAGTTATTAATGTTTCTGTAAGAGATCAGTGTGTTTAAAACGCTCATCCATAAATTTCAGAAATTTTAAAGCTATCTCAGTTTAGGGATGGAGATTTTGATGTTAGTGGCAATGGTCATTCTCATAAATATAAGACATAGTCATATTTGACCTTGTCCAAACTTTCAGTTGTTTTATTTGCTCCGAGGTACTATCATCATTAGATTTATGAGGTTTTCTAATTATTAAATCGAGATCAAGATCTAAAACACCTAGTGAAAATTGGACCCTTTTATATAATTCTGAAAAATTTGACCAATCAAAAGTTGTCATTCCAAACACAAGAGAATATAAGCAAGAGAGAACTACACAAATAGGATAATGCTCGTAGTAATGCCTCAACTATATCCATAATATATAATTAAAATTTATAAACAATGAACTACTAATATCACTATAGTTTTTCTTTTGGGCAAAACTTTTGCATGTCTAATGTTCACTTGAAGAAAGCTTAAAATACTTACTATTTTGTGATCAATGGAATAAAATAGACCAAAATAAACCATCAATTCATAATTAGCAAATATGACATAGATATATATGCAACATGTCAGTAAGCATCCAGAGGCAATAAACATATGTTGGTTACCAAAAAACATGTCTAACGATTCAAAATTTTCAATCAAGGGTTATGTGTAAACTTTAATGATCCCATATCCAAAATCAATTGAAATAATGAGGATTAAAATAAAAATTCAAGATAAAATAGTATTTGAATAAAGCTATAATTCTAAGATGTATGAATTTAACTTGCTTTAATATCAAACATAAGAAATTTAATGCAAAGGTTAATTTCTAAATTTTATGAAATTCCAATACATCTTAAGAAAATTAAAAAATTAGAATTTATATATTATTCGAGAAATATATAGCCATAACGTGATTGAGAGACCCCTTTGATAAAATTTTTAATTTTTTAATTCACTTCTTTTTTCTATCTAACTATTATGTACATATATTTTTAAAACTGTAATTGATGAAAGTGTACTGTGAAAAGGGGTGTGTACTTCTTTTATAGATAAGAGAAGAGGGTCAGAACACGTCAGGATAATTGAACGTGTTAATAACCGTTTCTATGTAATTAAACTATAATTATTATATTTTATTTTAACGTTACTACTCTATCAAGACACTTTTTTCTTTACAATAATCATCTTTTATTTAAATATACTTTTAGTTGGCTCCAATCGTTATAAGTGGATGAGAAAAATAAAACATTAGGTTAGTGGATCATCCACTTAATTACTAGAATTAGTCCATTTAATTATTAGAATTAATCCATTTAATTACTGAAATTAATATCCAAAACTCTCAAACTAAAGTAATATGCCAATTTTTTTCCATATATAAAGCATAAAAGGAAAATTTCATTCTCAATGTGCTTGTTTCTCATTTAGCTTTAAAATTCTTCATCTTCTTCTTAAGCTTCAATTTAGCATCTTTAGAAAAATATGTGTTAAATGTTATTATTTCAAAATAACAAAAATTTACCTCATTAGGGATTCAAGAAAAGCTCATTTTGTTTATTGCAAATGACTTTCTTTATAAATTATCTCCAAAATAATGCAGCTTGTTAATAATTCCATCAATAAGAAGATTAAACTAATCTTGATATCTTCATGTGACACTCGCCAACTACTATTAAAAACTCCATATTAAATTTGCTATTCACCATTGAAAATAAAAAATTTAACTTGCAACATATTTTTTCACATCCATTTCTTTAATTTTTATTTGTTATCCAAAACTTTCATGCTTGGATTGTCATAGAAATAAGAAAAATATTTTATAAGACAGTTGATGAGATATGATGACAATTATGCCTTGGAGTCCATTATTTCCCTCAGCCCACTACTGAAACTCATAAGCAGCAGCAATAACCATAACCTATTCCCAAATCTTTTCAGGTCCACGTGAAAGGGCAAAGCTCGGGGTCTTCTTCCTCGGTCACGTCCGTGACCACCCCTGTTTTTGCTGCGTCTTCGGCCTCTGACTTCAGCTCTGTCACTTCCATTCCCGCGCTCAGCCCATCGCAGATACAGAACATAATAGCCCATCTAAGCACACGCCTCCATGCTCCGTTCTCTGCCTCTGTCATACCGGCTCCAGAAGTTGCCTCCACCTCTGCCTCCATCGACACCTTCAATCTGTCAAGCTCAGGTATACCTCCCTATTGCTTATCTCTTTTTACATGCGCAACTACCTCGGCAGTGTGGCTTCTTGACACAGGAGCCACACATCACACTTGCTGCCTTGAATCCCTCTTTACAACCCTTAAGCATGTTGAACCCCTCCATATTAACTTGCCTAATAGTAGCTTCATGATAGTTAATCAAGTCGGTAGTGTGGTCTTGATAGAATCCATAACCTTATTCGATGTCCTGTATATTCTTGAATTTACTTTCAATCTCATAAGTGTTAGTAGTTTGATCACAACTCATTCCTGCACTGTTAATTTTTCCCTTAATTCATGTGTCATTCAGGACCTCACTCAAAGATTTTCGATTGGGAAGGGTAGCCGTGTTGGAAATCTCTACTACTTAATTACTGAGAATTTTAGAATGGGTCATCCATCTCTTATTAAACGTTTACCTTTCATTTTCACAAATAAATTATCTGATAATCCTTTCGATTTAATTCACATTGATATCTGGGGTCCTTTTTCCGTTCCCACTACGGAAGGACATAAGTATTTTCTCACCATTGTTGATGACTACACTTGGGCTACATGGGTATACCTTCTTTGAAATAAATCCGATGTTCACACCAAATTTCCTGATTTTTACACTTTTATCCTCACACAATATAAAATTCTAATTAAATCAGTGAGGTCTAACAATGCGCATGAACTAAGCTTCCAGTCTTTCTTCAAATCCAAGGGACTCCTTTCTTTCCATTCCTGTGTTGAAACTCCACAGCAGAACTCTGTTGTTGAGCGTAAACACAAGCATATTCTGAATGTTGCACGTGCTTTGCTCTTTCAATCTAATGTCCCACTAATTTATTTGGGGGATTGGGTCCTGACTGCCGTATACATTATCAATCGTACTCCATCACCTTTACTCTCCAATAAAACACCTTTTGAGTTACTAAATAACAAGAAACCTTCATATGACCACTTACGCACTTTCAGTTGTTTATGCTACAGTTCCACACTCGAGAGCCACATACATAAATTTTCACCCCGCTCTCGTGCTTGTGTCTTTCTTGGCTACCCCTTTGGCTATAAAGGATACAAGCTCCTTGATCTTAAAAGCAATCAAATCCACATCTCATGGCACGTCACATTTCATGAGGATATCTTCCCTTTTTCTTCCCTACCACACACTGACACCCACAATGACATCTTTCATGATAGAGTTCTCCCTACTCCTTTTGACAGTGGGATTTCATAGCCCATTGATACACCACTACCCCCTACTCTTCCCATTACTACTTCTCGTCCTTAGTGTGTCACTAGACCACCGTCCCACTTATCTGACTATCACTGCTACCACACTGCGACCATTAAAACCCATTATCCCTTATCTTCCTTCCTCACCTATAGTAAAATAAAGCCTCATTACCTTAATTACATATTTGCTCTTTCTTCCCACAGTTAGCCAGAAACCTTTGCTGAGGCACTACGACACCAGTATGGCGAGATGCTATGAATATGAAGTTACGTGCTTTAGAGAACAATCATACCTGGACTGTCGTTTCTCTTCCACCAGGCAAGAAATCAATTGACTGTAAATGGGTGTACAAGATCAAATATAAGGCCGATGGATCCATTGAACGGCACATGGCATGCCCTGTTGCCAAAGGTTTTACACAACAGTTTGGAATAGACTTTACTGAAACTTTTTCTTCTGTTGCAAAATTGGTTACTGTGAAAATTTTGCTCTCTTGTTGCTATATTTAATTGGAGTCTTACTCAGCTTGATGTTACTAATGCTTTTCTTCATGGAGATCTCGACGAAGAAGTTTACATGTCCATTCCTCTAGGATATTCTCCTCGAGAGGGGGAGATTTTTCCACAACATGTTGTTTGTCGATTGCATAAATCCATCTATGGTTTAAGACAAGCTTCACGACAATAGTCCACAAGTTCTCCACCGTTCTGAGTCAAGAAGGATTTCATTAGTCACAATGTGATCATTCACTATTCATTGAAAATTAAGAAGGTACTTTCCTGGCTCTTCTGGTATATGTTGACGACATTGTGATAGCTAGCAATAATAAAGGAGTCGTCAATAATTTGAAATCCACCTTGAGATAGAAATTCAAAATGAAAGATCTAGGGTCTCTCAGATATTTCCTTAGACTAGAAGTTACAAGAAACAATGAGGGTATCACATTTTGTCAAAGAAAATATGCTCTCAATTTGTTAACTGAGATTGGATATTTGGGATGCAGACCTTCTTCGATTCCTATGGAACCCAATCTTAAAATGTCAAAAAATGATGGAGAAATTCTTGAAGATGTCACAAGTTACAGGAGATTAATTGGTAAATTACTGTATTTGACTATTACTCGTCCTGATATTTGATACTCTGTCAATAGGTTAAGTCAGTTTTTGGCTGCTCATCGGACAAATCATCTTCAAGCTGCGCTATGTATCTTACAGTATGTCAAGAAAATACCTGGACAAGGTCTTCACTTTCCTTCATCATCAATCATTCAAGTTAAAGCCTTCTCAGATGTTGATTGGGGTACTTGTCCTGACACAAGGAGATCATTGACTGGTTACTGCATTTTTTTTGGATCATCCGCAGAGACAGAATATCGGTCAATGGTCAATACTTCATGTGAAATAGTATGGATCTTAAATCTGTTACGGGATCTGAAAGTGAGAAACCAAGGATCAGCACTATTATATTGTGATAATCAAGTTGCACTGCACATAGCTACCAATCCAGTATATTACGAGCGAACAAAACATATTGAATTAGACTGTCACTTTGTCGGGGAGAAAATTCAAGATGGAACATCGAGGACATGCACATTTCCTCACATAATCAGTTGGCTGATTTAATGACAAAGGCTCTTCCTTCTACACAGTTTCATAATCTTCTAAGCAAAATGGGTCCAATCAATATGTACTCTCCATCTTGAGGGGGAGTATTAAGATTAGAATTAGAATTAGTGATTTTTTTATTGTACATTCTGTTATAACTGTTTTTGTCTTTTTGCTCTTTTGTACAGTTATTTATATTTTTCATTACATCATTCATCAATGAGAAAATCAGCAGATTATTCATTCTCTGTTTTCTAATATTTTATCCCATGAACTTTTTCTTGCTTATAATAATTTCTAAAAAAACATGTTCTAATACTTCTACCCAAAAAAAAAAATTTATTGTAATAATATGAATATTAATAATTAAAATATATTATTTGAACAAATAAAAACTGTGAAGTTTAATATCGATGATTTTTGAAAATCCTTTTTTAAAAAATATTTTTCCTTATTTGTTTTGATAACTTGAAAGAAATTATATGGTGTCAAGAACCCAGTTGAAGAGCAATAAAAAGAACAAGAACAGTCAAAATTCTTCTTGATTTATCAATTGACAAACAAAAAACACTTATTCAATCAAGAAAGCACATTGAATTCTGTCACCCAGTTTAAGACTCTCCTCATTGTTGTCATCATCATCCTCATGTCATCACAACGTTATACAACAGAACAGACATAGAAAACAATATGATCATTACCCATTTCACAACTAAAGGAAACTCCTTGAACAAGCAGCCGTCGCCAGACGTCTAGCCACCGGAGAGGGAGTTGTCAGAGGGGACGAATAAGGTGGCAGAGACGGGGAAATCAGTAAAATCGACGGTGGAGATTATGTTGACCAAGCTTCTGAGATCCACGGTCCCCATAAGAGCATCGATGATGCTGGTTACTTCTGGTTCTCATGGTGTTTCAGGGGAGCTAGAGGTGGCGGCGGACATGGTGAGGAGAAGGAAGAGCATGATAAGAGAAAGTTGTGGTAGTGGTGGCCATTAAAAAGAAAGAGAATTATTCCCTTTCTTGATTTCTTCTTCCTGGTTTCCGTAGATGTTTATGTTAAAGATTGGTGTTTCTTTATTTATACACACACACACACACACACACACACACACATAAACGAAATGATTAATGATAGGATGAGCTACACTAGCCCAATAAGAATATCACACTAATCATATATATGAAAAATTGAAGATTGGTACAAATAAAAAAAAATAACTAATAGAACCCTTGCTTTAATTAAATACATTTAATTTAAATATGTTTGTTTGATACTTATCGTTACGATTTTTTCAAAAAACAAACTATGAAGACTCATATCCATACTACTTTTTATTTTCACACATAAGACAACAAGAGATGGCAATTTTTCTTTCTTACTTGCTTACTAGTACCCTTGGGGGTCCATACGGATATCCTCCTCGTAAATTCAATATCCAATTTTAATAATTAATCGACCGTCTGCATACTCCGTCCAATAATGGACGCCAAACATTCCATCGTCTTAATACCCTGTCCAGCATGATGGTTAACCATATCTCTCAAACCTTTCTGGTATAAGACTTTCCAGTCCCGTTCGACTGAGGTAACGTTCACGGTAGGATTTTCTATGTACCAGGCCCGTCCGTCCTTTCCCTGGGTACCCAGTAAAACTTTCACATAAATATTCACATCAAGCAAAACAACTAACAAATGCATATCAATATCTCGTATTATATTTATAGATGAATTAGACGATATTTATGCTGACGATATAACTTATCATAACAACGGATCGAGTAACCAAAAAAATTGATAAGACCATTGAAATTATAAATTAAGAAGATGCACAATACAATAACAAGCAAGTAAGACAGTACAGAAAAATAAATAGGAAATTGGGATAATTGTGAACTAACTGGTTCTGCCTCCACTAGTGACCTCTAATTATTTTTAAGATTTTCTAACATTTCATAAAAATACACAATTATACATTGTTGAACCTCAATTTACCGTAACAAGAAATAGGGTAAGAGATCCTTTCCCAAATAAGTGTTTCGAAACGTCGCGCTATCTATTACACCTCCCTGAATTTTTTCTGCGGAATCCAAAACATTCATCACGTACCTAAAAATGCTTCAAAAATCTAAAATCAAGGTCCAAAACTATTTCTGACCAATTTTGGGGTTATGGCACAGCGGCAACGTCGTGCTCCGGCATCGGCTCCGTCGCCCACTGCGGTGGTTCGCCTCGATCTGATCGATTACGGCTGATTTTACACGTATACTTCCAATAAAATCGTTAGGAGGTTTCGGTTGGCCGAAAAATTATAAAAAACCAAACCTACCGATGAGGAGGTCTCTAGGTGCGGTGGCTCTGCCAATTCTTCTTTGCGGCTGGGGCTCCTTCTCTAGCTAACTTGCACAAAAAAAGATAGTGAACACAATGATCAGAAAATTGTGTGAAATTAGAAGCGAGAAGGGGCTCATCAGAGGAATTTTTTGGTTTTGGTCGCGATTGCTCTGTGCAGTTTTCGGCTCACTGACCGTTCCTCTTGCTCTGATATGGCCATAAAGATGCTCAGAATCGAATTTCAAGAGGGTAGGAGGAAATTTTACCTTTTTTGGCAGTCGGCAGTGGCTATGATGTGGTAGTGGTAGGCGGTCGACATTCTTCTCCAGCTCCTAGTTCTTCTTCTCCAATAGGGACTAACGGCTAGGGTTTGGGTTTCCCTGCGACTCGAGGTATTTATACTTATCCCGCATCGATCTGGGCCGTTCATCGCGATTGATCTCGTTCATCCGATCGTGCGTAAGGATAGAACGAATCTGAGCTGTTCACGCACACGAGATCAAACCTAGGCCATCAGATCGCTGGGCAGGCAGCATGCTCTAGTTCATTAGGGCTGCTAATTGGGTCATCCCTCGTGGTTGAATTTTTTTTTTGTACTTTAACCCCTCGTTTCTAATTTTTCTTTCAAAAATACCCTGCAAACTAAAATGTTTACCCATTTTTCTCAAAAATATTTTCAATATCGTCCCCAATTCATTTTTTCTAAAAAATTCAATAAAAATTTATCCTGGGCTATTTTTCGGGTCCGGGTGTTACAACTCTCTCCCTCTTAAAAAAATTTGGTCTCTCAAATTGGTTACTCTCTCACTCAATCGAACAGGTAGGTACTAGGCTTTGAAACTTGATTCCAGTTCGCAGGTGGCCTCTTCCTGCGTATGGTTCTACCATAGGACGTTGACGAAGGGAATCTTTCATTTTTGAAGTAGTCTACTTTTCTGGTCTACAATGCCTACCGGTACCTCTTCATAGGATAAATCCCTCTAGAGTGAAAGGGACTCATGGAACAGAATGTGTGAGGGATCTGGGTTGTACTTGCGTAGCATGGATACGTGGAACACATTATGAACCCTGGATAGCTTTGAAGGTAGTGCTAGTCTATAGACGGTCGTACCAATCTGGTATAAAATCTCAAATGACCCGATGAACCAGGAATTTAATTTCTCCCTCTTGTCAAACCTACTGATCCCCTTGAAAGGGGTGACCTTAAAAAATACTCGATCACCTTTTTCAAATTCGAAATCCCTCCTTTAGGTATCTACATAACTCTTTTACTTACTCTGAGCTGTTTGGATGTTCTTCCTGATTTTAACTATCTTAGTTGTAGTCTCCTCTATAAGATCTGAACCGAATAATTTTTTATCAGCCACCTCTTCCCAACAGATCGGTGACCTGCAAGGGCAACCATACAATGCCTCGTACTGAGTATGCCGATACTTACTTGGTAGCTGTTATTGTAGGCGAACTCTATCAAAGGTA